ATGTGTTAGGAATGTGTCTTTGCTATTTCATGTGTTTTCTTGTCTTTCTCTTACAGGTATTTTGTTTTTTACTGCATAAACTGTTGTATCTTTATAATCATAACTTCGGTTGATATTTAAAATGTTTCTGAATTGTTTTTTTGGTATAATTGTTAAATTAAATGAATTATTTGTGTAGTCTTTTAAAATTAATATTCGTTTGGGTGGATAGGGTGGCTATAAGGGGAGATGCGGAGGCCACAGAAGGTTAGGGGACTTTTTTTCCCTAATCTTGCATTTAAAGAATAATGGTATGACAGTTTATGTATAATATGATGCTTCTTATTGTATTTTCTTTGAAATTTTATTGATTTTCTTGTCTTTCTTGCAGGTATTTTATTCTAACTCTTATAAGTCGTTATTATATCTTAGATGTTTTGTTAGATATTTTGTTTATATTGATGTATTGTTGTTATTTGAAATAAATTTGTACTTTGTTATAATATTTGTAAATAATAAATGTATTTTCATTGTATTATCATTCTTTGGTATTTAAATAAATAAATAAATAAAGTATGCGTTTTTAATTTTGTCCTCATGCTTGAACAACTGTAAAGAATAAAACTGTACAAACACTAAAAAAAAAGGAAGTTGTGTCAATTTTTGAAAATTATCAGAGCCATCATATGCTCAGGATATGAACAATTTGAAAGAAAGCTGAAGTTAATCCCGCGCTTTAATTATAAACTTGGAAAAAGACCCAATGCAACTTATGCTCTCCTAATACAAATGTTAGAATTTATGAAAATTTTCAGTTTTGAGCCAAATACGAGGGTTGGTCAGAAAGTAATGGAAAGACCCAATGCAACTTATGCTCTCCTAATACAAATGTTGAAATTTATGAAAATTTTCAGTTTTGAGCCAAATACGAGGGTTGGTCAGAAAGTAATGGAAAGACCCAATGCAACTTATGCTCTCCTAATACAAATGTTGAAATTTATGAAAATTTTCAGTTTTGAGCCAAATACGAG